ATCAAGAAGGTGTAACAATTATGCACATATATGCTCCTAACAACAAAGCCCCAAAATGTATGATGCAAAAACTAATAAAAAGGAAGGGGAAAACAGACAGCTGTACAATAATAGTTGAAAAATTCAATACCCCACTTTCAATAATGAATAGAATAACTAGACTAAAGGTCAATAAGAAAACGGAGGACTTGAACAACACTATGAGCCAACCAGACCTTACGGACATCTATAGAACATGCAACCCAGCAACACAGTTTCTCAAGTGCACATGGAAAATTCTCCAGAACAGACCATATATTAGGCAACAAAACAAGTCTCAATAAATTTTAAAATGTTAAAATCATACAAAGTACCTTCTCCAACCACAATGGAATAAAACTGAAAGTCAATAACAGAAAGAGAACTGGAAAAGCATGTGGAAATTAAACAACACGTTTTGACCAATTGGTCAAGGAAGAAATTACACAGGAAATTAAAAAATACTTTGAGATGAATGAAAACGACGCCACGACATACCAAAGCTATGGGATGCAGTAAAAGCAGTACTCAGAAGGAAATGTATAGCCGTAAATGCTTTCATTAAAAAAGAAGAAAGATCTCAAGTCAATAACCTAACTTTATACTTTACACTTTTTAGGAAAAGAAGAGTTACTAAACCCAAAGAAAGTTCTAAGGGTTAGAGGAGACAGAAAGGGATGAGATATTATTCAAGCATTTTGACTTTTTTTTTTCCTTTTTGTAGAGATGGGGTCTCACTATGTTGGCCAGGCTGGTCTTGAACTCCTGGGCTCAAGCAATTCTCCCATCTTGGCCTCCCAAAGTTCTGGGATTACAGGCATGAGCCACAGCACCCAGCCTATTCAAGCATTTTGGATCCTGATTTTGGTTTGACAGCTCCCATCCCCATGTACAAAGAAAATTGATACTTATTTATTTTTGAAACAGAGTCTCGCTCTGTTGCCTGGGTTAGAGTGCAGTGGCATCAGCTTAGCTCATAGCAACCTCAAACTCCTGGGCTCAAGCGATCCTCCTGCCTCAGCCTCCTGAGTAGCTGGGACTACAGGCAAGCGCTACCATGTCTGGCTAAATTTTTCTGTTTTTAGCAGAGACGAGGTCTCACTCTTCCTCAGGCTGGTCTCAAATTCCTGACCTCAAGTGATCCTCCTGCCTTGGCCTCCCAGAGTGCTAGGATTACAGGCGTGAACCAGCACACCCGGCCAAGAAAACTGATATTCAGATCTTAGATCTCTCTGTTCCTTCACCATTTCCTTGATTTTCTAAACAAATTGCTCAGTGTAAAAGAAATGTTGTCCTTGTCCTGATTTCAGTGTCTGGCTGTGTGTGGGTGCTCAGTTAGTACTGGCTGAAAGGAAGACAAAGGATGGACAAATGGATGGATGAATGAATGAATGAGTGCAAGAATGAATAAATAAACTTGGTAGGTTGCATTAAAGGAGCTCAGATTCAAGGATCAGAATGGTTGGCCTCTGAGCCTTGTCTCCCCCACTTGCTAGCTGGTGCTTCTGGACGAGTCACTTAATTTCATTGAGCCTTAGTTTCCACATCTGAAAAATGGGATCATGATAGGAACACATCCCTCATGCGCAACCGCTGTGGTGACTGAATGGCTGACGAATGAGGAGGCTCAGCACAGTGGTGGCACACGGTCCTGGACACTGTTAGCCGTTGGTCATTACTATTATATTCAAACAAGACCAGCAGGGAGACAGGGGAAGTGGAGCTTGAAGGGAAGGAGGGGCCGTTTCTTCTCTTGTCTTTTCCTTGTCACTCTTCACTGTGGGACTTGGTCAGCTTTTGCTCATGAAAGAAAGGGCATGCTTGCAAAGCCAGGTCACTTCTAACTGGGTGGAGGGCAGAGGACAGAGGTTAGACAATGGGGAGGAGAGAGACTCTCCCAGTCTGGGCAGAGTCCATGCTCACCCTCACAGATGCGGGTGTCCTCATTGAGGTGGTAGCCTGGTGGGCACTCACACTGGAAGCTGCCGAAGGTGTTGACGCAGTCGCCCCCCTGACACAACCCTGGCAGCTCCTGGCACTCGTCAATGTCTGTCGGGAAGTGAGGAAGCCATGCTTGGAAGCGAAATCCTTGCAGGGGACTTGGGGGACACCTAGACCCTGCCTTGGGCTCTCCAGGGCTCCCTCAAGGATCCCCAAGAACTATCCCATGGCTGATGGACATTTGCAGGGTCTGTCTTGAAGGAGCTGGACCCAGACTCTCTTGAGTTAATGTTATCCTAAGTTCAACTCTTTTCCTTTCCTCTGTTAGTTCATCCTTCTATCCACCATATAGTTTCTTCTGGATGGAATATCTTCTCCAACCTCCGTCACTTCCTATGGATACAATGGATGGAAGGATGGATGGATGGATGGATGGGTAGATGGGTGGATGGATCAGTGGATGGATGGGTAGGTGGGTGCATGGATGGGTGGGTGGATGGATGGATGGATGGGTAGATGGGTGGATGGATCAGTGGATAGATGGGTGGGGTGGATGGGTGGATGGATGATTGGCTGGATGGGTAGGTGGGTGGATGGATGGATGGGTGGATGGGTGGGTGGATGGGTGGATGGATGATTGGATGGATGATTGGATGGATGGGTAGGTGGGTGGATGGATGGATGGGTAGGTGGGTGATGGATATTAAAAGTAGTGGATAGACAAATAATAAAGTGGGTCAATGAACGAGAAGATGAATTAGTGGATAGATGGGTGAGTAGATGGATGAATGGATGGATGAGTAGAAGAGTGAAGGGATGGGTGGGGCAGAGAAGATGAATTAGTGGATAGATGGGTGAGTAGATGGATGAATGGATGGATGAGTAGAAGAGTGAAGGGATGGGTGGGGCATGGATGAATGACTGGATGGATGAGTGGATGGATGGATGGATGGGTGGATGAGTAGATGGATGGGTGGGTGGGTGGATGAGTAGATGGATGGATGAGTGGATGGATGGGTGGATGGATGGGCGGGTAGATGGATAGGTGAGTAGCGATACACAGATGGAAGGCTAGATGAGTAAATGTGTTGGTGGGGGATGGGGGATGTATGGATAGAAGGATGGCAGAAGGAGGGATGGGTAGATGGAGGAAGGTTGGAAGGATGGGTGGATAGATAGGTGCATGGGTGAATGGGGCAGGGATGGACGGATGGATCCATGGGAGGAGGGATCAATAAACCAACAAGTGGAAGAAATGGATGAAAGAGTAGATAAAAAATTCAACACAAACTAAAAGCAGTTTGGTCCTGCTGCCCAGTCTGCAGGCGGGAGGATGTGCCCCCTCCCCACCCAAAGCTGCTCAACTCTGCACTGTAGTGAGGCAGGGATGGGAGAAAAGTCAGCCCCTAGGTGGGCGGAGGGATGGGTGGCCCACCAGACACTCACCTTCCAGAATGACAGTGACGGGGTTGGGCCGGAAACCCTCGCCACCCGGACACAGGGTTCTGTACTCGGCTGCAAGGAGAAACAGGCTCCCGTGAGGGGCTTTGGGGCAGGGACCCTGAGCAAAGCTTGGGGGGAATGGAGGAGGGGACGGCCCCTGACAAGGGCTCCAGGGTGGGCCCCATCCCTCTGTTGTACCAACTGCATCTCCTTATCTCTTTGGCCTCTTGGGCCCAAGAGACCTTGGCCAGTCCGGGGGCTGCCTGGGGATGCAGTTTGTGTGTGTGTGAGCACACACATGTATGTCTGTGTGCAAACGTGGGTCACGTTCAACATGTGAGCACAAGGGTCATGGCTTGGGGTGGGGGGAGAGGGGAGGAGGATTCCTTCTGACCCAAACCGGACCCTAATGTGACCGCAAGTTTCCTCATGAAAGGAAGACTCTGGACGTTCACACGTGCACACACCTGACTAGGTGGGCAGGTACCTCCCTGTTTCACACCTGAGGCCTTTGCACATACTGTTCCCACAGCATTGCACACCCTTCCCCCTACTGCTGGGAAAACTACTCATCCTTCAAAACCTCACTCAAGCCTCCTCCCCTAGGAAGCCTTCTTTTTTGTTTTGTTTTGTTTTTTTGAGACAGAGTCTCACTGTGTTGCCCGGGCTAGAGTGCCGTGGCGTCATCCTATCAAGCGATCCTCCTGCCTCAGCCTCCCGAGTAGCTGGGACTACAGGCATGCGCCACCATGCCCGGCTAATTTTTTTCTATATATTTTTAGTTCTCCAATTAATTTCTTTGTATTTTTAGTAGAGACGGGGTCTCGCTCTTGCTCAGGCTGGTTTCGAACTCCTGAGCTCAAACAATCCGCCCACCTCAGCCTCCCAGAGAGCTAGGATTACAGGCGTGAGCCACCGCGCCCGGCTAGGAAGCCTTCTCTTACCCCCTTCTTCTCCACAGCTTCCTCGAGAGCCACGGCTGTGCCTCAAACAAATCCTTAGGATACATCTACTCTCACAGTCCTAAAACTGTTGGTTCAAGGATAAGGCACAGTGTGTGCAGTGGTGGTAGCTCATCCTTCTCTGCATCCCAGCCCCCAGCACAATGCGCAGAGCTCTCGGTGTTTGTTGACTGACTAAGTGATCGACTGAATAAAAACAGAGAAGCATTTGCAGAAAGCAACCTTGGAGAACTGCCAGAGAATATGCTGTGTGAACCAAGACAAGCCCCTCTCCCTCCCTGGTGCTCAGTTTCCCTGTCACCTAAGGTCCTCCCTTAGCAGAGACGACCCCCTAAGTGCCCGGGTCCCTGTGGCTCAGGTCACCATGCCTGTCTCCCCTGCAGGGACTCACTGGTGTTGCCCATCGGGCACAGCTCGCAGGGGTTGCCCCAGGCCCGGCCCAGGGAGCAACAGCAGGAGGCTCGGGTGACGCCAACTCCGATCTCGGCACTGCAGAAAATGCCACCGTCCCCTCGGTTGTGCGTGTCCAGGAAACAGTTTCCAACCCGGGTGTCTGAACAGGCAGAAAGGGAAGGTTGGCAAGTGAGGGAAGGAGAATTCTGCCTACGTGTGCGCCTGAGCGTGCGTGAGGCTGCATCGCGACAGGTGACCGAGGACCAGCGCGTGTCCTGTTTGTCAGGAGCGGGTAGATTTGAACAAGTCGACATCCGGGATGCCCCAGACCACAACCTGCGCATCTCAGCTGACTCCAGAGCCCCCCAGCCAGAGCCGAGTGGACTCACCCACGCAGCCCACCCCGCTGGGGTTCAGTTCGAAATCCTGGGGGCAGTTGCAGAGGTAGCTGCCAGGGATGTTGACACAAAGGCCGTTGATACAGTTCACCGGGTCGGCGCACTCATTGACGTCTGTGGGGAAGACGCACCGTCTGTAGCAGGGAGCCCTCCCTCGGCCCGCCTTCCTCCTGAGGAGCCACAGGCCTCACCCTGGGGCCACTCTTGGGCACCAGACTGTGGGACGAGGCTGTGTCCTTCTCTGGGGAGAAACCTGAGAGGACAGGAGCCTCCAGTCCGCCCGTCCCGTCGAACCCTTACCTCCCACCCCCAGCTCTGTCCTACTTGGTGCAATTTTGCTCCTTTAAAACACTACCTGCCCTGACTTCCCTCATTTATTTATTTGTTTGTTCATTTATTTATTTATTTATTTAAGGCACAGTCTCACTCTGTCACCCAGGCTGGAGTGCAGTGGCTCCATCATAGCTCACGGCAGCCTCCAACTCCTGGGCTCAAGTGATCCTCCTGCCTCAGCCTCCCGAGTAGCTGGGACTACAGGCACACACCACCACCATGCCTGGCTAATTTTTAATTTTTTTTTTACAGATGAGGTCTTGCTATATTGTCCAGGCTGGTCTCAAACTCCTGGGCTCAAGCTATCCTCTCACCTCGGCCCCCCAAAGTGCTGGGATTACAGGTGTGAGCCGCCATGTCTGGCCTCAAAATCCATATTTAGAAAACACTTTGAAACCAGGGGATGGCAAACTCCAACCCGTGGGCCGAATCCGGCCCACTGGCAGTTTGTGTCAATAAAGTTTTATTGGCACACAGGGCCACGCTTGCTCATTTACATATCGTCTGTGGCTGCTTTGGAGCTACAACGGCAGAGTTCAGTCATTGTGACAGAGACCCCGTGGCGTGCAAAGCCGAAAATATTTACCATCTGCCCGTTTTAAAGAGCACACACAGGTGGGAGAGGCTTTTCGCAGCTGGGGTGCAGGGGGGACTTCATTCGTTCACTGCATTTATTCAATAGAGGAATAGGTACAGGGAGTGTTGGGGGGTATTTCAGGTGGAAGGTCAGACCAGGCCCCCCCATGGGAGGGCATCTGAGAAGAAATCTGAGGGGAGTGAGCTGTGTCCCGCCCGCCCAACTCCTGGTGCTGGCTGACCCCACACCTGTGCAGTTGCCGCCACCGCGATCCAGCTCGTAGCCACCGTCGCAGATGCAGCGGAACATTCCAGGCAGGTTCTCGCAGCTCCCAAACGCGCAGAGGTTCCCGAGAGCACACTCGTCCACATCTGTGGGGACCCCGGGTCAGCCCGCCCCACCTGGCAGTCTGCCACGGCGACCTGCCCGCTCCGTCCTCTGCCCCGCCGGGCCCAGGCCTCACCCCGGCAGGCCCGGAGGTCCTCGGCGGGGTCGAAGCCCATCTCGCATTCGCAGCGGTACCCGCCGGGCGCGTTCAGGCACTGCCCGTTGTCGCAGAGGTCCACGTCCTCGGCACATTCGTCTCTGTCTGAGGGGCCCCGAGAGGCGGAGGGCTGAGGGCCAGCCGGGCCAGGACCCACGCAGCGTGGGCAGGAGACTCCCTGGTCACCCAAACCCTTCGCCGTCACAGGGTCCCGGGCAAGTAGCACTGGGGACTCGGATCTTTGACTTGGGAGTGGGAGGCAGATGATCAAGTCAGGGCCAGGGAGGGGAGGGGCGTTCTGGACACTTTGACTCTGGCCGGGATGGGCAGGGAGGGGACTCGGTCACTCGGGAGTGGAGGGCAGCCCGGAAGTAAGTGAGCATCCCGTGCACTTAAGAGTTCAGGGGACTCTTAAGCCTGTCCCCCGGGCTGAGGGTACATCTCCAGCACCCACGGCGTGGTGGGTGGGTCAGAGTGAGCCCGGAGGTTGACGGACCGCCGGACCACCACGAATGCGGCGCCCGCGGCTGTCCTTTTCGGACGCCTGCCCTTCCACACCCTGATCTCACCTTCGCAGGTGAAGCCATCCCCGGCGAAGCCCTGGCGGCAGGTGCAGCGGTAGGAGCCGGGGACGTTGCGGCAGTCGGCTCTCGGGCTGCACCGGTGCTCCTGGGTGGTGCATTCGTCCAGGTCTGCAGGAGACAGAGCCCAGAGCCCCCCGGGGTGGGCGCTGGGGGACTGCGGGAGGCAGGCCCCTCCAGCCCCAGCCCTGAAGGGCCCCCACAGACACCCTCAGCCCCACCGCCCTGACCCTTGCGTCCAGCTACTCACCGTGACATTCGATGCCATCCCCCTCCCAGCCTGGCTGGCACCTGCAGCTGAAACTCCCGGGAATGTTGAGGCAGGAGGCGCGGCTGTCACAGTTGTGTCCCCCGAGCTCACACTCGTCCACGTCTGAGGGAGCACAGTGACCCAGTCACAGAAGGGGAGATTCAAAGCAAGAGCAGCTGAAAGAGCAAGGACCTTCCCTCCCCAGGGCAAGGGCTGGCCCAGAAAGCCCCTTTGCACCCACCCGGGGGGCTTCCATCTCCACCCAGAGCCCAAGAGGAAAACCCCCAAACTAAACAGACATGGCTTATAGCGGCCCTGCAGAAATGGTCTGAACGGGCAGCATGAGAGACTTAGGCTAGACATTCAGAGTGACCATCCTAACAAACATGCCCTCTCTCCAACCCAAGACTTCCCTCTTCCAATCCTGAGACAATTCTGCACCAGCCTTATAATCTCTGCAATTTTCATACCCGGATAGCTACTATTTTATTCAACATTTCTGTATCAGACCCCCCTACTTTCAGTAACGTGAATGTGTTTTAAAAGAAAATTTTGTATCAACATCAACCACCTCTAAGAAGTCATGGGTTTGATGCTCTGTTATGCAACATTTGTTTCTAGCACAAATTAAAATAACTGCATACCTGGAGGAGGTAGAATTGTCCCCATAACTCACTGTAACCTTGAACTCCTGGGCTCAAGTGATCTTCCCGCCTCAGCCTTCCAAGCAGTGGGACTACAGGTGCACGCCACCACACCCAGCTAATTTTTTGTATTTTTAGTAGAGACGGGGTCTCGCTCTTGCTCAGGCTGGTTTCGAACTCCTGAGCTCAAACAATCCGCCCACCTCAGCCTCCCAGAGAGCTAGGATTACAGGCGTGAGCCACCGCGCCCGGCTAGGAAGCCTTCTCTTACCCCCTTCTTCTCCACAGCTTCCTCGAGAGCCACGGCTGTGCCTCAAACAAATCCTTAGGATACATCTACTCTCACAGTCCTAAAACTGTTGGTTCAAGGATAAGGCACAGTGTGTGCAGTGGTGGTAGCTCATCCTTCTCTGCATCCCAGCCCCCAGCACAATGCGCAGAGCTCTCGGTGTTTGTTGACTGACTAAGTGATCGACTGAATAAAAACAGAGAAGCATTTGCAGAAAGCAACCTTGGAGAACTGCCAGAGAATATGCTGTGTGAACCAAGACAAGCCCCTCTCCCTCCCTGGTGCTCAGTTTCCCTGTCACCTAAGGTCCTCCCTTAGCAGAGACGACCCCCTAAGTGCCCGGGTCCCTGTGGCTCAGGTCACCATGCCTGTCTCCCCTGCAGGGACTCACTGGTGTTGCCCATCGGGCACAGCTCGCAGGGGTTGCCCCAGGCCCGGCCCAGGGAGCAACAGCAGGAGGCTCGGGTGACGCCAACTCCGATCTCGGCACTGCAGAAAATGCCACCGTCCCCTCGGTTGTGCGTGTCCAGGAAACAGTTTCCAACCCGGGTGTCTGAACAGGCAGAAAGGGAAGGTTGGCAAGTGAGGGAAGGAGAATTCTGCCTACGTGTGCGCCTGAGCGTGCGTGAGGCTGCATCGCGACAGGTGACCGAGGACCAGCGCGTGTCCTGTTTGTCAGGAGCGGGTAGATTTGAACAAGTCGACATCCGGGATGCCCCAGACCACAACCTGCGCATCTCAGCTGACTCCAGAGCCCCCCAGCCAGAGCCGAGTGGACTCACCCACGCAGCCCACCCCGCTGGGGTTCAGTTCGAAATCCTGGGGGCAGTTGCAGAGGTAGCTGCCAGGGATGTTGACACAAAGGCCGTTGATACAGTTCACCGGGTCGGCGCACTCATTGACGTCTGTGGGGAGGACGCACCGTCTGTAGCAGGGAGCCCTCCCTCGGCCCGCCTTCCTCCTGAGGAGCCACAGGCCTCACCCTGGGGCCACTCTTGGGCACCAGACTGTGGGACGAGGCTGTGTCCTTCTCTGGGGAGAAACCTGAGAGGACAGGAGCCTCCAGTCCGCCCGTCCCGTCGAACCCTTACCTCCCACCCCCAGCTCTGTCCTACTTGGTGCAATTTTGCTCCTTTAAAACACTACCTGCCCTGACTTCCCTCATTTATTTATTTGTTTGTTCATTTATTTATTTATTTATTTAAGAGACACAGTCTCACTCTGTCACCCAGGCTGGAGTGCAGTGGCTCCATCATAGCTCACGGCAGCCTCCAACTCCTGGGCTCAAGTGATCCTCCTGCCTC